AAAGAAAGAAAGAAAGAAAGAAAGAAAGAAAGAAAGAAAGAAAGAAAAGGAAAAAAGAAGAAAGAAAGAAAAAGAAGAAAGAAGGAAGGAAAGAAAGAGAGTGGGGGAGGGAGAAAAAGAGAAAAGAAGGAAAAGAAAAGAAAAAAGAAAAGAAAGGATAGGAAGAGAAAAAGAAAGAAAGAAGAAGGAAGGAAGGAAAGAGAAAAAGAAGAAAGAAGGAAGGAAGAGAAAAAAGCAAAATGGGAAGAAAGGAAGGAAGGAGAGGGAGAGAGAAAGCAAGTAAGAGAAAGAAAAAAAGAAAGAAGGAAAGAAAGAAACAAAAAGAAAGAATGAAGGAAAGAAAGAAGAAGAGAGGGAGGGAGGGAGGGAGGGAGAAAACAAAAAGAAGGAAAAGAAAAAGAAAGAGAAAAGGAAAGAAAGGATAGAAAGAGAAAAAGAAAGGGAGAAAGAAAAAGAAATCAATAAAAAGAAGGAAAGAAAGAAAAAAGAAGGGAGGAAAGAAAAAGAAAGAACGAGAGGGAGGGAGAAAAAGAAAAGAAAAAAGAAAAGAAAGAGGGAAAGGATAGAAAGAGAGAGAAATGAATGAAAGAAAGAACGAGAGGGAGGGAGAAAAAGAAAAGAAAAAGAAAAGAAAGAAGGAAAGGATAGAAAGAAAGAAGGAAAGAAAGAAAGAATGAGAGGGAGGGGGAAAAAGAAAAGAAAAAGAAAAGAAGGAAGGAAGGAAAGGATAGAAAGAGAGAAATGAATGAAAGAAAGAAAGAATGAGAGGGAGAAAAAGAAAAGAAAGAAGGAAAGAAAGAAAGAAGGAAAGAAAGAGAAATGAAAGAAAGAAGGAAAGAAAGAGAAATGAAAGAAAGAAAGAAAGAAAGAAAGAAAGAAAGAAAAGAGAGAGAAAAAGACCCTTTTTACTGGAAAGACAGCCTCTGTGAGAATGATTCCACAGCTGGGAATAAGTGAGGAGCCCCCACCCTGCCCCTCCATAACTTTAACCACTAGGCCCTGCACCTGACTACGGTCTGCTATTCTTTCAGCCTGCTCCAATTTCTCGGACCAGGCAGACTGTCAAAAACGGGGAAACTCTCCCAGCTGTTCAGGTGCAGGAGAAGACGCTTGAACTCACAAACCAAAAAGACCTTTGCGGGCATTAAAAATGGCCCACAAGGGGGGGAAAACCTGGATCCAGCTAGCTAGAAAAGCTCACACACACACACACACACACACACACACACACACACACACACACACACACCCCGTTGGTAAATAAACTTCGATGCCCACCGAGCACCGGAGAGAAGCCGGTGACCTGCCTCCAACACGCCCCTTGAAACCAACCAATCACGGGAGGCGCTCCACAAGGGCGCCGTCTGTCCCGCTGCCTCCTGCCAAGGAAGCGAAGGCTGGCCCACCGGCGGGCGACACCCCCCCCCCCACCCGCTATTGAAAATGCCTTTGGGCAAAGAACCCCCTTTTAAAAAAAGCCCACTGGGCATTTTCCACCCAAGGCTTCTCCTCCCAATCCCAGAGTTCCTTGGTTTTGTGCATTGATTTCAGTTTTGAATTGGAGGGTTGTGTGTCTGTGTGTTGGGCTTAAGCCCGGGTGTTTGGCCGTGTTTTCTCAGGAACAAATCCCACTCAATTCAGTGGGGCTCACACACACCCCCGGCCCCAGGAAGCATGCCCACTGTTGCAGGTTTCCATGTGCAAACAGTAGGGTTAGTTCATCCAAAGATTCAGTGCAAAAAACCCACGATGGGTTTTTGTTTTGTTTTTTGCTTGTGGTTGCATGACTGCTAGCACATCGGAGGCCGCCTGGCACGCACCAGAGATGGGGACAAGTAGCATCCCATTAAGATGTGATCTAGTGACCAGGAGATGTGGTCTAGGACCAACCTAGCAACTAGGAGATGGAGAGTTCTAGTGCTGCCTTAAGCATAAAAGCTAGTTGGGTGACTTTGGGCTAATCACCAGGAGACGGTGAGTTCTAGTCCTGCCTTAGCCATGAAAGCTGACTGGGTGACTTTGGGCCAATCACCAGGAGACTGGGAGTTCTGCCTTAGGAATGAAAGCTGACTGGGTGACTTTGGGCCAATCACCAGGAGACTGGGAGTTCTGCCTTAGGAATGAAAGCTGACTGGGTGACTTTGGGCCAATCACCAGGAGACTGGGAGTTCTGCCTTAGGAATGAAAGCTGACTGGGTGACTTTGGGCCAATCACCAGGAGACTGGGAGTTCTGCCTTAGGAATGAAAGCTGACTGGGTGACTTTGGGACAATCACCAGGAGACTGGGAGTTCTAGTCCTGCCTTAGGAATGAAAGCCAGCTGGGTGACTTTGGGCCAATCACCAGGAGACAGGGAGTTCTAGTCCTGCCTTAGGAATGAAAGCCAGCTGGGTGACTTTGGGACAATCACCAGGAGACTGGGAGTTCTAGTCCTGCCTTAGGAATGAAAGCCAGCTGGGTGACTTTCAGCCAATCACCAGGAGACAGGGAGTTTTAGTCCCGCCTTAAGTATGAAAGCCGACTGGATGACTTTGGGCCAATCATCAGGAGATTGGGAGTTCTAGTTCTGCATTAAGCATGAAAGCTAGAGGGACCAATAACCAGGATAAGGTGAGTTCTAGTCCCACTTTGGGCAGGAAAGCCAGCTGGGTTCTTTGGATCCAGTCCTTCTCTCTCAGCCCAACCCACCTCACAGGGTTGTTGTGGGGAAAACAGCACAAGGAAGAAACATTAAGCACGCTCACTGCCTTGAGTTATTTACAAATGTTATTTACAGGCAGGATGCAATGAAATAAAATGAAATAAATGGACTGCACGGGTCTAGTAGAACAACGAGCATTGTAATTCAACAGGCCCTGAGGGCAAAAGATAAGGAAAGGTTACACATACATGTGTACACACACACACACACATACATGCACACACAAAGATTCAGAGCTAAATACATCTGATTTCAAACAGGCCTCCCTTCCCAATTATCAGCACGAATTGTGAAGGTTATTTATTTCATTTGAGATTGCATCCCCACCTAATCCACCCAATATTTTTCCCCAATCTTCTAACTAGGGAATTCTGGGAGTTGGAAGTCCATACATCTTATAAAGTTGGAAAATACCAGGTTAAGTCTCGGACAAGGGGCTGGGGAACTGGGAAGTCTAGTTTCACGCCCAACTTTGCAGGTGTCCTCAGCCAGATTGATGGTGGATGATGGCCCAATCTCTCTTATTTATGGAATGATGTGTTGGATTTATGCAGTATAGCCGCCCACCCCAGCAAAGGGATTCCACGTCCTTTTTGCAAGGTTGTTGCGGGGAAGAACTTTTGCACATACGTGCAACACAGCATTTGCACCTATGTGCAACACATTACACACAGAGGAGGAAGGGTCTTTGGATCTTCACCCTTTCCCTCTCTTTTAAAACAGAACTCTCCAAATTTGGGAACTTGAAGATGTGGGGGGACTTCAACTCCCAGAATTCCCCAGCTGGCCGGTTGGTCCCCCCACACATCAATTCCCAGAATTCCTCACATCTTCAACTTCCCAATTTGGGGGATCATCCTGCCAGACCTTTTCAGAGAACAAAAAGGAGAGGTCTTCTCTTGCGAAGATTCCAGCCCCCTCTTGACCACAAGGTGATAGCCTCCAGAGTTACTGGACAACGACGGTCCATCTCCTTGGCTGGGCTGGCTGGGGAGTATGGGAACTGTAGTCCCTTTGCTCTGGAAGGCAGGGGACGATGGGTCATCCCTGGCTTCTCTAATCACCCCTCGGAGCCCAAGTGGTCCATTTCCCACCCTGTCAGGTCAGCTCTCCTTCTGGAGGGGGTGGGGGGTGTCTCTGTCAAGACCGGGGGGTGGTGGTGGTGGTCTCCAAACATGGCAACATGAAGACTTGTGGACTTCAACTCCCAGAATTCCCATTTCCTTGCCTGCTGGCTGAGGGATTTTGGGACTTGAAGTCCACAAGTCTGAATGTTTACTAAGTTTGAAGGCTCCCCTGATTCAAGGCCTTTGCAAAGACTTTTGGGGAGTCCCAAATAACGCCACACACACACACACCCTGCTTAAGGGGAGCCCCTCCCCCAACATTCCTCCCTCCCATCTGGGGAAGCCCTCCCACCAATACCTCTCACCCATTCCCTGTCTAGGGCAATGCATCCATAAGGACCCCCGACCCAATAGCCACCCATGGAGACACCCCCCACCCACTTCTTGGAGCCCTGATGCCCCCCTGCAATTGCAGTCCCCCCAGATCCCAGATCACCCCTCCCCGAGGAAGCCCCCCACCCCCATACCTCTCTCACCTATTCCCTGTCTAGGGCAATGCATCCATTAGGACCACCGACCCAATAGCCACCCATGGAGACCCCTATCTTCCCCCCACTTCTTGGAGCCCTGGTGGCCCCCAAGACCGCCTTTGCAATTGCAGCCCCCCCAGATCACCCCTCCCCAAGGAAGCCCCCCCCTCCCCAGACCACCACCACCACCACCCGACTCACCCCTCCTGCGCGCAGCCCCCTGACCCCGGCCGGGCCGGGGAGCCGAAGCCCCCGCAGGAAGCCCAGCCCGGCTCGACCCACCGCCGCCGCTGCCATCTTGCCGGAGAGGCGGAGAGCCAGCAAGCCGCGCCCGGGAACGGGCGGAGCGGAGCGCCCGGCCACCCCCACCCCACCCCTGCCTGCCTTCCCCCTCCTCCTCCTCCTCCGCCCTGGGCGCCTCGCAGCCTCCCCGGGAGGAGCCCCTCTCGGGGTGGATGGGCGGGAGGGCGGTGGGGGGCAATTGTGCCAGGCCCCTGGAGGGCGCCCGCTTGGAGGAGAAGGGAACTCGGGGCTGGAGCGGTAGTGGGGGGGAGAGGGGGGCTTACATTTGAGGTGGTGGGAGAGGATGATGGGCATGGAATCCTGCAACGCTGGGAAACTACCCCCCCACCCCCCCAAGTCTCCCACCAATTTGCAAGAGAGAGAGAGGCAGATGTACAGTATAAGGAGCGGGAGGAATGGATGGATGGGTGGATGTATAGAAAGAGGGATAAAGGAGAGATTGATAGATGACAGAGGTAGACGATAGAAGTAGAGATTCGATAGATTAGCTATAGATTAGATGGATGGATGGATGGATGGATGGATGGATGGATGGACGGATGGATATATAGAAAGAGGGATGGGTGGATAAAGGAGAGATTGATAGGATATAGACAATAGATATAGAGATC